CGCTATTTTCTTTCGAGGCACGAAATTGTCTGTTTTGGACAATGATTTATCAAACGCCCGTTTTGCCGCATCAATGTCGTACGGGTTAAAATCTTTTTTATTTAATTGCGCGTCGTTATTAGGCAATTCTTTTAATGTCGCGGTATTTTTATTTCTTTCCGCGTTATAATTTGTTTTATAATCCCGGTACTGCTTCACCGGTTCGAACCTGTTGGCTTTTGCGTCATCCCGTGCATCGTACGTCTTCGACGCTTGCCTCGCGCTATCGCGATTGTAATCCGATACGTCTACGTCGCGCGTCTTTGTCGGGTAGCTCGCGCTCGAGCTGGCGCCACCGCGATTGTAATCTGATCTGTATCGGTATCTTGACTGCGTATTCAACGTTCTTCCAACAATTTCTCGCTGCGTATTACTTTTGACGCAAAAATTTTGTCTCTTCGCGCTATTATTATAAGCATACGACTTTCTTTCTTGTTTTTGCTCGTACTCGATTTCGTCGACTCGTTGTAATAAGTCTTGTTATTGTCGTTATTTTGGAGAGCTACAAATATAGCTTGATTGATGTCCCTCGTTCTTTGTTTTTCTTCCTTCATCAGGGTGTCCATTTGATTCCGTGATACTTGGGAAGTCAGTATCTTTCTATCAAGTAGAACGCATAATTTTACGATCGGTCTTTTGAATTCTGAGGTAACCGTCTTGATGGTGACGATCCGTACGAAGCCGTCGGAACCGGGATGACATTGCGTAACTCGGCCCAGTTCCCACTTACAGGGAGGTAACAGGATTGCGCAGGAGGACGAGTTGCCCGGTATCAATTGGCGGTTCTACCTTTCGCCATTTTGCTCGTTGTTGTAACGTATTGACATACGAGAATTCTTCGTATGTTAGCATATGATTTCCTAACACGCGGCGCAGATGAGTTTTTACGCTACGGACGCCTGCCTCCCACAACCCGCCGAGATGCGGAGCGGACGGGGGAATGAAATTCCATGTCACGTTATCGGAGGCAGTCAGGTTCAGAAAATTCGGATCTCGTAATGCTGACCGGTACGCAACGGTCAGTTCTCGGTCCGCCCCGACGAATGTCGTCCCATTGTCCGAATACATAGATTGTGGTAGACCGCGGTGAGCGCAAAATCGAGAGTAAGCGTTTAAGAAAGCTTGAGTGTCAGCTCCTTCACTCCCTAAACTCAGACCCATGGGGGCGCCCGTATAGGTTTGTGTTAAACAGGCTGAGGCCATGGGTGCCCCCGGTGACAGAGTCCCTCGATCCCCAGGTCCTCGATAATGTCCTGAGGACCTTCTTTCCTCTAGATGGTCCCCCCTTTTCCGAGAGCTGCGGCCAGGAGACCGCCGCTCCGTGGACCGAGAACCTGGAGGTGACAGAGGACGAAATGGCCTGGGTAATCAGCCGATTGAGGCTACGGGGCAATAAGGTCCCGGGCCCCGACGGTATCCCCGGCCGGGTCTAGGTCATTGCCTTGGCCCACCTGTTCGAGCGCTTGAGGCAGCTCTTCACGAGCTGCCTCAGGCAAGGTTTTTTTCTCCCAGCTTAGGTGAAGCCAAATTGGTCCTCATCCCCAAGATGGGCAGGCCTGGGAATTCCCCTTCCGCCTACCGGCCAATTTGCCTGCTGGACGAGGCGGGCAAGTTATTGGAGAGAGTTCTGGTGGACCGCCTCGTCCGGCATCTGTCCCGGGGTGGTATGGACCTTCACCAGGAACAGTATGGATTCCGCGAGGGGAGATCGACGATCGACGCGATCATGCGCGTCCGAACCCTTGTGGGGTCCATCATGGAGGAGGGCAGGGTGGCGATTGCGGTGTCATTAGACATCCGCAACGCCTTTAACACCCTGCCCTGGAATAGGGTGAGGAAGGCCGCTGTTAGCTTTGGCCTCCCCCCTACCTGGTGGAGGTCCTTGGAGCGTACTTCCGGGACAAACGGTTGGAGTGCACCGATGGCGGTGTACTCCTACGCGGAAGGGGAGTGTACTGCGGGGTTCCACAGGGGTCAGTTTTGGGCCCCACCTTGTGGAATCTCGCGTACAACAGAATACTAGGCACTGCCCTCCCCCCTGGCTGTAGTGTCGTCGGATACGCTGACGACACAATAGTGCTGGCTGGGGGAGATAGCTGGGGGGAAGCCGTGAGAACGGCCAACATCGCGGTGGCGTGCGTCGTTCGCACGATTTACGGCATGGGCCTGGAGGTAGCGCCTCACAAGTGAGGCGCTCTTCCTTTATCGGGGGAAGCGGAACCGCATGCACGGAGCCCCCCCCCC